GTGTCGTATCCTCAAGACAACTTATAAAACTTTTTGGCTGCTAACCTGAAGTGAAGGAAGTTTTATTGTTTACGAGTTGTTGGTACAGAAGATTTTCAAAGTGATATTTCAGGAGACGGGTTTTATGGACCCCGGGTTACAGCATTAGCGCACTGCAAATGTTTCAAAATATTATTGTTATAGCAGTATCATTGTGTCCGTCCTTTAAACATGTTAGAATAATTTCTATAATCTCTGCTAAATTTCGAAGTTTCAGATTTTCTTCTTCTAAAAATGTGCCATGAACTTATCGTAACTAGGCAGCAATTTATTTTTTTATTTTTTTATTTAAATTGGTTTACTATAGTTGTTGTTGTTGTTGTTGTTGTTATTATTATTATTATTATTATTCATGCGTAACGTATGCTATAATGTGTTACTTGTAATAATGACACTGTAACATGAACATTGCATTTGTTACCCGACCAGATGTGTTAGAAATGCGCCACAGGTAATGACAGCAAAGCATCATGAAAGCATCACTTATAGTCTATAGCCTATAGACTAATCTAATAAGAATTAAGCTGCTGGTTCTTAATAGACTGCATTTTCACTTTCCTCAGGCCTTGACAGTCACTCCAGCATGTGTGACCCATACTGACGACGTGACCGTTATTGCAAACTTTCCGTTTCAGAGGGAAATTCTTATTTCACAATACTGTCATATTTGTTCTATAAGTACAGCCTATAGGCAATATTTTACTGCCACATAAGACCAACGCACATTTGATACTGTGATATTTTACATTGCTAATGGATCAATGCGTTAGCATGTTTTGCTGTTTCATACAGGTTTGTGCATTGCGTGTACATCAAACTGTTCAGTGTGTGTGTGTGTGTGTGTGTGTGTGTAAGAGAGAGAACGAGAGAGAGAGAGAGACGCATCCTACACCTCTCTTTGAATCAGTCGGAGGGGTAAAGTCTCAGTGTATATCACATTCCCGACTGGACCCGCACATTAAACCACCGAGGCATGATTCCTTTTCTCTTCCATATTTCCTTATCAGCTCCTTCACCGTTTCATTTCTTTCACATGAGAATTCAGGGACCCCCAAATTCAAGGCCGGCGCTTCAAACAACAGCACTGCGGTTTACTTTTCTTCTGTCCAAATGCTATCCCAGATCCAATTTTAGATAGACGAGGCTTCAGCAATGATGCTTTTAGGAGTTTCCGAGAGAGAGAGACAATAGTTAAAATTTTTTAAAATGAGATCAGCGTTACACCAAACCCAATATATTGCAGTATTAAAATGTAATATGTCTCACTAAATTTGAATTGAGATAAGCATGTGTCTCACTTCTGTAAAATAGCAATTATAGAACAACCATCATAAAATATATTGTCATTATAATATGTATTAGATATTCGAAATATATTTTTATCAAAAATAATTGCTTTATAAATATCAATAATAAACAAATCTCAGGGCATGGTTTCACAATATTATTTTTTTTTAAATCGTTTTTGTTGTCTCCCTCAGCGCGTTGAGCTGATTTTAGTTTTGAATGAAATAGGCCTAGAAAATTAGCATGGCAAGATTCAGCGCAAGATATTTATAAGCTACATATTAAACTGAATACTGCGCCCACGATTTCAGGGTGACATTAGGAGACAATAATGCAAATGACCCATGGCATTCAATTAAAAGTGTCATGTCCCCTCACTTTTGTTTCATGTGTTTTATATTTTCCACTAAAGTGTTTGAGAAAGAAAGCGCCTTGTGTCCCCCTCCTCATTGAATTTTATCACTAAATGAAGCATATAAATGATCTGAAAGCACAGCCTGTCGCATTAAATTAAATAAAATAAAGAACAATTATCCTCTCTTTTTCTCTGATCTCCTGCTGAAAGGAGTCTTGGCGAGATAAGGCAGATTGAATTCGGGCTCTCCGTTGAGCTCAAATAAAAACGTCTCGGAGAAGAGCTACAGATTTAGGGCTCTATAATTTCACATCATAATTTTTACCTCTCTTATTTTTTCCCCCCAGTTGGGTTTTGTTTGCGACGTTTTATTTCCACAGAATGCTTGAGAAAATAGTTCAAAATGGCTGCAGTGATCACAGTTGATTAATAGCTGTGAAGGGCTCATAAATTAACATCTAATTACACCCACATGCTATGAACTAAACATAAAGCCCTGGATTGTCATTCATATTCAGGTCTTGTGGTTGATCATCTAGTTCAGTTTTTCATTTTGTTTATCATGTTGTGTTGCCTTGTTCAATCTGTCAAAATATGAAATGATTTTAGAGTCTTCCGTGCTGACCGGAATTCTAATTCTCTGTAAAAAATAAAAAATAAAAAAAATAAAGATATGAAAGGGTTTAATTTAAGTTCAGATCGTGTTGTTTAAATAATCTAGTGATGCAAAAGAACACACGTTTCCCGCATTCATTTTAGAAGTGCTCCTTAAAGTTCCCTAATTATCATCGTCCAATTTCAAAGTTGAATCTGCATGCTTTAGGGGGCTGGTGTAAAACTTGCTATTCGGTTCAATGGAGTATCACCCTAATTTACAGCGGCAGATAAGAGCACAGTCTGTCATAAAAATCTGAGCCCCCTCCCTCCCTTATATTGAATTGCACCTTGGGCAATAGTGCAGAATCGTGAATCTTAACTTCTTCCAGCATATGTTCCTGGCAGATAAGTAAACAATCTGGATGTGAAATGAAAATTTTAATTAATACAGTAATGCTATTACACCTCGGTGTGCAAATCCCATTCCCCATCCCTGCGACAATAGACAAAAGTACAGGCCAATTCCAATCCTCTGTTTGCAGCCCAAACCCAATTGTTCTGCGAGCTTGTTTCCTTTGAGTGAATCGCATTCTCCGTTCACACATCTGCTTTAGTTTCAGCAACACTTGTTTTTGTAATACAGGAGGAGAACTTTAGTATCAACTGTGTTGAATTACAGTATTATATGAATCTTGACAAATTGGGAAAGAAATATAGACTAGCAGTTATTCTGAACGAGTTGCAACATGTTTGCTGTTCACATCAGAAATCAAATTATTTCATAGATATACATATTAGCCTATTTTAATTTTTTTACATTAAACAAAAAAAGCCTACTGAAGTAGGCTAAAGGCAACTTTAGTTAGCAAGAATTCTACTAGTATCATTGTTCTTGTTGTTGTTGTTATTATTATTTAGAGCGTATTGAAAAAAGATATATAGGATAGATATTTATTTTGTGAAAGTAGATAAGAATTTAGGGGCAAGCTAAATCTATAAGCAAAGTCATAAATCCAATTTTACATGTAGACTTACTGAAGAAGGTGTTAATTAATTTGTTTTGAGAAACTTATAGCAGGGTTGTTCTGTCCGTAAAGTGTTGGAATGATCTAAGCGGTGGAACAGGTGGAACAAGCATAGAGCCCCTGAAGGGTGAAACGTCTCATACACAACCACACATCAAAAAGTGTGATCGCCTTATTTCAGAGACATGACACACACCTTAACGCAGAAAGTTTTACACTCTGAACACAGCAAGACGTGCGTATTTACAGACAAATATGACTTGACAATATACTAATGAAAGAAAGAAAGAAAGAAAGAAAGAAAGAAAGAAAGAAAGAAAGAAAGAAAGAAAGAAAGAAAGAAAGAAAGAAAAAGACGTCAACGAGCCGAATGGAAAATTGAGATGGTAATGCAAACTGGCAGCCTCTACATCTGCAGACTTCTCCAATGTGTCACAGCGCGTCTGTAGGCGAAAATCGGCACAGATTTTAAAGCACCTGACGCTTTGTTCAATTGTTTTTTATTGGGAATTGTTTTGTAATAGTAAATGACATGGTTTATACTCGTACCACCCCTTCTTCAGTCCAATTTCCATCCTATTGTGGGTCTCGGGGTGAATCACAATTCATGTTCGCCCTCAGTTTCCCTAAGCGTCCCTGTACAGTAATTGTTTTGCCATTTAATTTGGACCGGCGGTCCCTATAGAGCAGACGGGAACGCCACGCGCTGACAGAGTTCATCTCAAATCTATGCCGAAAAGCCAGATGGTTATTAGACAGCGTCCGCCGAAACGATTGACTATTTAAGCATTACTGATTGAGAAGATAAATATTGTAGATATTGTAGATCGGTGTAAGATCAATTTCAGTTTTATGTTTAGCAGTTAAGGCCTGTGCTGTTCTCTCGGCCCGACAAAATTAATTATATTTTAATGCACAAATAAAACCCGCTTATGTACGTTAATATACAGCTGGAAGAGTAAACATTATAAAACGCATGTTTGGGATCACCGTACTTACTACTGACATGCCTGTTACCTTTTGGCACGACTGTAAAAGAGCATAGCAAAAAAGAAGATTCATAAATAATTTAAACAGGCAATGTAACAAGGATTATGCATTTTTAAGACAGATTGTCTTTATTCAAAATGTCTTTGCTCGGCAAATGAACAAAGAATCGAGGTATCACCCTTTTAAATACATTTTCCTTTCCATTAACATGACAGGATTTAAGTTACCATCGCAGATAAAAAATACAACATGAACTGCTTTGCTTCAAACTTTATGTTCTTTCTGAAATCAAATGAACGAGTGACTATCACTGAACCACAGGAGGAAAACAAATGTCCAAATGAAAAATATTGAAGGATAAGGGTTTTTTCTTTTTCTTTTGATATTTTAAATAGACCGTCTACTTTTAGGTGCCGGTTTGATCATTATTAACAGTATGACCCGTATAATCTATTAAACGCTGAATTTCTCACTTTGAAATCCTTAAAGTCGTATCATTTGAATTTCAGAGTGCCAAAAAAGAATGGTAAATACAACAGGCTGTACAAGAAACATGAATCCTAACCGTTAGTTGTGCAAATCAAAGTCATTCAAATAATAATAATAATAATAATATGAGAATAACAATTATATTAAGTGTTCAAACAAAAGTAGCATTATTATAGCATCAAATTGTACATAATAAATAAAATTAAAGTCATCCAAATCCGGTAGCTATAATAATAAACGTTTGAACATTTACATTTCTTACAGTTCTGGGCACCTGCCTTACATCTATTCCAAGATCCAAGCTGGGATCCAAGGAACCTCTCGTAGATGGTGAAAAGTTCATGTCCACACGGCCGCAGTATAAATGTCTTGATCATTCCTCTCTTCTTATGTACATGCATTGCTGTATTCAAGTTTTCAAAAGAGGAGACTGTTTTTAGTGGTGAAGTCACATAGCAGCGGCATGTGCTGCTGAGTACGGGTCAATCCCACTCTTGGTCATACCTGGGAACAGTATGTAGGCAACAGGCGGCTGTAAACTCGATGCCGACCATGCGGTGCAGTTACACGGCACCACGTACCCAGGGTTTGTGGGCGACGGGTGGGTGTGGGTGTGCTGGCTGGGGCAACTCAGGCTCCCGAATGCGCCGTTCTGGTATCCCAGAGAAGATGCGTAAGGTAAAGTGCTGGTGGCCAACGTGTGGGGCATCTCTGTCATCTTCTGGATAGCGCTGGAGCTGAACTGACTCGGGTCGAAGAAGGAGTAAGGGGCTGATGTGTGCGGCAGGAACGCACGGGCTTTTTCCGAGGAACCTAAGAGCGAGTCCGTGGCTGAGAGCGGAAGTCCTTTCAGGTGATCCGTGTCGCCCAGGTAGGGCAGAGGAAACACGTACCTGTCCTTCTTGAGGAGGTTCTTGGGCTTGCGCCTGGGTCTGTATTTGTAGTCTGGGTGTTCTTTCATGTGTTGAGCCCTCAGCCTCTTGGCCTCGTCGATGTATGGTCGCTTCTCGGATTCAGAGAGCAGCTTCCATTCGGCGCCAAGTCTTTTGCTTATTTCTGAATTGTGCATTTTGGGATTCTCTTGAGCCATTTTCCTCCTCTGGCCTCTTGACCAGACCATGAAGGCGTTCATGGGTCTCTTGATGTGATCTACCGGCTTTGACATTTTTACGGTTCCCTGTTAAAATAAGAACAAAAAGTTCTTCGACCAACCAAGAGAAAATAGTATTCACCTGTCCTGCAGACAGACACGGATCATGCCACTTCTGGAGAGCCGGAGGAGTAGGAAAACGGAATCAATGGGGGAAAAATCCACTAATTCTTCCGTGTTTGTCGCAAAGTTGAAAGATTTCTCTTCTTCAAAACGACACTATTCGGCTGAGAGAAGAACAGTCAGGCGCGCCACAAAATCCAGCGCGGTAAGCGAAGTTTCCGCGATCTGTTTGCACGCTATTTTTCTCGGAGGATTCTCGCCCCGTGAAGCACCTGGCTGGGAAATGAGGAGAAGCGCGTGAATGAGAGCCAAAAGCGGTGAAGTTCAAAGGCTGGGCTGGTTCGCTCTGCACGCGATCTGACATAATCGCAGGGCGTTCACGCGCCAACCTGAGCGCCCAATCAGCTCTGAGAAAGCCACATAATACCTACCAAAATATGTATATTACAACACAAACAAAGATCGGGGAGGAAAAGGAGGTGACTCTCTTCCCTCCCCAAATCCATTTAGTTGAAGGTCTACAAACACAGACCTTCAACCTTTTTGTAATAAAACCTGACATCTACCAGCGTCAATCCTTCAGAGACGACAGATGCCTGAAGAATAGACACATTCTTATTTTAAACATCGCTGTCCTTATGCGGACACGGTTCTACGTGTGCACTTAAAGTTAAGCTTTATTTACTTAAGGTATTTTGACAATTTATCTGACGTTTATCTTCTTTTTATTACTATCACTTATAATTCCTTTTACAACCGATTTGTTTTTATTATTAGTATTTTTTTTATAACATAGTAGCTACATTATGAGGATATGGCAAGTTTAATCATTATAACCTCAATGCGCGAATACTGAAATGTCTAAACAAGATTAATAATGAAAAGACAAATGGTTTTAGAGATCTTTGAAAATAAACGTGCTGTCTGAGGCAGTGGCCCCCAGGCCAATATTTCCTAAATGAGAACAATTGTCCAAAGCTCTCCTGAGACAGGCTGGGTTGGGGCTTGCACCTGTTTTGCTGCTGTAATCTCACATGTGTAGAACATGCCCATGGACACTTTCTGAATGGTAACATACCCACGCAGATTTGGCATTGTGAAAACAAAAATTGCTCATAGAATCATTACATGCCACAAATAATGAAACGCAAATGAAAACCTTGCGCTGGGTGATGTGTTTTGTTTTCATCTGTTAATATTTCTAATAATATAATATTAGATAGTCTGGCAGAAATTATTTATTAAATGATTCAGATTTCATGTAATTGCTTTAAACATTAGATTCATGGTCACAGTAAAGTTGCTTAATTATTTTCTGTAGAGCATATTTTACATTGAAGCTGCGGTTAATTATCCCTGTCTTTCTCATGATCTCTGTCTCCTTTTCTCTTTTATATATGACAAATACACTTCCGAATTCATTTATAATTGTCAAAATCCACCCAGATGTGCGAACAGAAGTATTAGGCAACTAATTCAAGGTAATGTTTTGTGTTAAGGTTCGCGCACCAAAACCTTTAACATGCAAATGTGAGTGTTTAAAAAAGATCAGGGTCTTAATGAGCCCGAGGCAAGGAGCTTGATATATGAGAGGCACGGGTGTAATTATTAAGTGAAATGTTTAAGATATGTGATATCTCGTGGAGAGGCCTTCAAGCGTGACACGAAGAGGGATCTGTAATTTAGCACATGAACATATATTGTTTCTATCGTTTTACACGATACAGCGTTATTTCAAAACATGTAGGATTTAATCTAAATGTTGAGAGATAAATGCCGTACGTATGTATGCATTCCAATAACTATTAATTAATGAATTTATTTATTTTTTATATTATATATATTTTTATTTATAGGTTTGTCTGTTATTTTTGTGCGTTTGGGATTTTTTTCACCCCAAAGCGTCTAATATCTGTCAAACCTTTTTTTTTTTCTGACCGGTGAGGGGTATTTATAATTATTATATCTATTTATACATATTTATATCTATTTATAATTATTATTATTTTTTATTCGCTCAGTTTTGCTCTTCCAAGGTCACGTTACAGCTGAATATTAGCAGATGTTTTTAGATGTGTGATCACAGACGTATATGCAGGAGTTTTAGTCTTGTAGCTTGTAGGTGAAAATGCTTTATTTTTAGCCTTAAGAATTATTTTTAAATTGTTGAATATTTCTGCTACTCATGTTGTAACATTATTTTAAATAATATATGCATATTAAAAGCAAACTTAGTTAGCTGGACTTTTATTATCTATGCCATATCTTCTGACAAAAATAAAAACAGCTGTTGTCTTTCAATATAATTTAGTGATCATAAACCATGAACTTATATATAACTTTTTCTTTTTTTCAATTAAGCTAAACCCATGTGTACATAAATCCTCAATGAGGCGCTGATGGTAAATGCATCTGGAGAGCATGAAGTGTGTTTCTTAGTGGTGCCGGCTCGATATCCATCAAGCTTTGCCGTTCCACCGCCTCTCAGCCTCCCTCTCCATTTCAGAGCACAGCCGAGAGCAGTGCAGCTTGAAATCCGGAGAATACCAGCCTGATAGAAACAGAAATTACAACGGGAATTAACAAATTATTGGGGCACACAGCATTTGACATAGAGATGATGTACTCAAAGCTAAATGAAGTGAGATTTGTGAAATCAAGCATGTTGAGGCGCGCGCGTCATTAAATGGGAGCTCGTCACAATGGAGGAGATATTCCGCGTGCATACTATGGATCGCTCACGTGCGCAAACTGAACTGTTTGCTCCTCTTTTATGCGTTTACCGAGGAGTTTAGCATCCCACCAACGCATGCAAAGGTGTGCATGTATATTCGTGTTTTGATGTGTGAGATATTGCATCTCAGTGTTTGCAATGTAAAGTACGAGAACAAACTCAGGTTTGAAGTGTTATTTTGACTTTTATTCACTGAAATCACTTGGCTTTTCAAGCTTCGCTAATTACCTTTACGATACTAGTAATATTTCGATATCATGTATTAATACTGACATGAGCACCATTTATGCTCAGATAACTGTTACTTTAAAAGTGTATTACTCTCAAGCATTTGCAGGTCGACTGAGATGCACAAAGGCAACTGAGGTAGGTACGTGCCAAAAAAAAAAGCCATTAGCTAAGCCTAAAGTTGAGCTGAATACTATTTTGTGATATGATCGACCTACAGAATACCGCCTGCTGTATTGAACTTAAACCTTTTTTTTAAATATATATATATTACCCCTCTGTTGAAAAGTCAAATTAATTAACTTAATCCTCTTGGGTCTTCCAAGAGCAGAAATCCCCCATCAATAACTTTATTTTAACAAATTATGAGTACATCTATAAAGTAATTTATATAACGATATACATTTTATTGCTATATTTTTTAACCACCTGATTTTATTTTTAGAAACCTAAGGTAACCAGTCTTCTATTTTTCTAACTGCAAATGAAATGTTTTACTAATCTTGACGCTCAAATGATGGCGCGTATTTTAGTGGTCGCGACCCTTCAAGCGGCTTGGAAAATGGATGAATGGATATTTCAGTGGTATTGAATGAAAAGAGGTCAACTCAATAACATCAATTCCAAGAAATACAACAAAACAATTTCATCTCAGTTGAGGTGGTTGTCCCGGGTTTTCTCAGAATCAGCGGTAACACTGTGTAAATCCCACGTGTTCCGACCCTCATGTTTCACACGGGGTTCATGAGATGGATACGGTGGTACAGTAGCTGTCCATGGTTCTGATGCGCTAAGTGGCTTTTTCCACTGCTAACTCGCGGTCCCACTCAGGACTCCTCACAAACCCGTGTTGACATTTCAATGCTTTTTATTCTTTTTACATCCCATTTGCTGCTGTGATTCTGCTCGCATGATGCTGCAATAGATGTTTTCCCTCTGAGAATTTGGAAGTGTGCTCTGCCAAAAAACCTCTGCGACTATGTTGCATGTTGTTTTGTAAGCCAATATTCATCCCTTAGGAATTATCTTGGTAAGTTAAGTTCTGTGCGTAACATCGCGGATTCAACAGCGGAAATGGGAGTGTGTTTACAACGGAAATGCTCTCATATATACAAAGCACATGAAGAGCATTTCAAATGTCTGACCTAGTGGTAATGCAGACATTATTCAAGCCTGGGCGTCACCTCATATGCAGCTGAGAATTCCAAAGAAGTCTTAAAGGTGACTGTATCATGATAAAACTACTTTAAAGGGCCACCAACATGTTTAAAGGTTAGGTTACTACAGTATTTACTACCATAGCTAAAAAATAAAAAAAAATCTACTCTCTCTCTCTCTCTCTTAAAACAAACAAACACACGTTTTATATATATATATATATATATATATATATATATATATATATATATATATATATATATATATATATATATATAT